CGCCGAGAACAATATGCAGTCCAGGCAGCATGAGCCGACCCCTCCTTCTCAGGGACCGCATCCTCCTCCTCCTCAAAAGATTCCTCTGACTCAGCATTATGCCACCACTGCTCTCTAACTAGCATCAGTTTCTCTTGCGATCTGGCCTCTTCAAACTCCCGAACAGCACTACTAAGTCTTTCCACTATAGGCTGAGACTGTTTCCAGGGGACAGGAAGCCTCTGGACAGGGATCGAGACTGTCCCACACCAACTCCCAAAGCAAAAGCGCGTCGCAGGGAGACTTCCCAGGCCCATCAAGCACCTGACGCTCTCGGAGCTGTGCGCCAACCTTTTCCCAGATTTCAGGATCAGGAGTTCCCTCCTCCAGAAACCAAGGACAGGCGTCCTTGACATAAGCAAGAAAATCTTCTAATTGTTGAGCTTTAACAGGGATGCCACGAGCCCGCAGCATAGATCTAAACCATTGCAGATAAAACTGATGGTCCCTTGACCCTGACTGTCCCATCCTTATGTCTATATGGGCTGCTGACCCTATTTACAGTAGGCTGGTGACCTTTTATGTACAATGGACTGTTTGTCCTGACTGTCCCAATGTTTTACTCCCCTCAGGGGGTGGGTGTAGGTGTGAATGAGTGATATGCATTAGAGGTGAGCCACTGGACCAAAAACGGGGCACAAACTCAGTTCATGTGACTTTATACAAGAGGGATCAGAAAACCAGAGAGGGAAGCAGGGTGGCTAAAATCACACAGCACTTTCTACCGAGCAGAGTCAGAAAGCGGTCTGCCCCAAAGGTGTGTTTGCCCCTGCGGCTCCTGAGAAAGCCGGGCTGGGCTCCTTCTGGGCGGACAGCTGCTGTGACTGAGGACGGACACAGCCAGATGCAGCGCCTGCCGCTCTGCTCTCACAGCACGTCCACACCTCTCTCATCTATCCTCACGACAGCCTAGGACACAGTGCAGGCAGAGTCAGGCCCCAAGGGCCCGCGTGCAGTCCCTCAACCTGTGACTCTATGGCCTTTGGGGGAAGAAGGGACTTGGCCCGTGTGACTCAGATTCGGGACCCTGAAGCGGCGAGAGTATCCTGAATTGTCCGGGCGCGATTTTAAGGAGAACTTTAACATCAGAGAACCTTTGATTGGNTCCTAATGCTGCGACCCCTTAATACAGTTCCTCATGTTGTGGTGACCCCCAACCATAAAATTATTTTCGTTGCTACTCTATAACTGTGATTTTGCTACGGTTATGAATCGTAATGTAAATATCTTTTTGTTTTCCGATGGTCTTAGGCGACCCCTGTGAAAGGGTAGTTCAACCCCCAAAGTGGTCGCGACCCACAGGTTGAGAACCGCTGCTTTACAGGAACGACCTATTTTCCTTAAATACCCCCAGCTGGTCTGAGAATGTGAAGGCAGGTTTTGGAGGTGTTAACCCGCTGCCTTCTCAGGCCACCCGAGCTCAGGATCCCAGAGTCTCGTCACCACCGGAGGCCATTTTGTTCCTCTGTTCACCCTGGGCTCACTTGCTAAATTGAAGCGTTGTTTCCTCATTTTGTTTACCATTATTTTATTTATTTATTTTTTTGGCTGAGCCATCCTGCTACGTGTTGGCAGCTCAGCGGCTGCTCAGCTCGGGCTGGACTCGAACCACTGTTGCTCAGAGCTCAAACTCTTGAGCGAGCTCTTAACCATCTGAGCCACTCGGCCGGCCCTTGTTTACCATTTTTTTGACATCAGACAAGAAAAGGAGACCCTGTGTGCCTGCTCCGCCCCAGGGCACCCTCCCAGGGACCCACCACTCACCCAGGAGGACGCCTGCCAGTTCTGCCAGTCCCAGGAGCCAGGAGGCCCAGCGGAGGTGGGGGTCTTCAGAGCAGGGCCCCATCACGGGCCACCCGCCAGCCTGTCCAGCTGCAGAGGAAACATGAGAAAACAACAGAGAGGGGAGGAAAACCCCACAGCAGGGTGGGGCTGGTGTTTACTTCCGGGATGGCAGTTCAGAGTGAGTCACTCAGACACAGGGTGCCTCAGTAAACCATATTAGGACAAAGGTATAACAAACCCCCCACTGATATGCTAGGTGTTGTGTGGGACAGGCCCCTCGTCCCTGTAGTCACAGGGACTCAGTGACCTCACACCGCCATTCCTACCCCGTGACAACTCTGGCGCTGACCTGTTGTTGACAAACGTGATTTTCTCGTGCCCCTCCCCACAACATGGGCAAAGCCAGCCCCCAGGAGCTGCCTCACAGCCATTTCCCCTGGAGCCTGTGTCAGCCCGTTCCTGCTGTCACAGGGGCAGGGACGGAGAGGTACCCATGCCTGGCCACGTCCTCCGAATGAGGGTATGGCCCTGGCCTCCCCTCCCCACACTGGGAGCCCCTCATCATCCGATGGCTTGCCGCCCAATCCCTGGGGAGCCGTCTTCCTAAGCAGGCAGTGCCACCCACACCCCCCCACGGAGGCTCCCCAAGGCTGGGCCGGCAGCACTGGACCCACAGCCACACACACAAGGCGTTCAGCTCCCTGCACGTGAAGCCCATTTTATGGATGTGGAGCCCGAGCCCTAAGGGACGGTAGGACGTGCAGATGGTCACATGGCAGCCATGATCAGGGTCTGGACCCCAACATCACAGCTGCTCTTCCCTCCTGCTGGTGGCCTCCAGTAAGTACCCCGAGCCAACTTGTGTGCCCCCTAAACTGCTTTGCAGCTCCCCGGACAAAAGAATAATCAACACAGGGTGCCCCCCCCCAACCCCACCCCATCCCTGAAATGGGAAAATTACCCCAGAAGGCACTCCAAGAGGCCACAGTTAGAAGCGCCTGACACTGAGTCAAGATCGGCAGTTCACCCACTTGTGGACGGAAAAGGGGGCACAGAATGAACTCGACACGCTCGGGGGTGGGGGTGGGGCTCTGTGGGCCCTAAAACCCAGAGACCAGAGTAACCACACAGGAGGGTCTGACTCAAAGGTGGTCGGTCCTAGGCCTGTAGCTTCCTGACAAAGGTCCGTCTTCACCTAAGTGAGTCAGTCTATGGCCTTTTGCATCTAGGACGACAGGCCTTTGCATGTCAGAGTCGTCTCCTTTTCCAGACCCTCAGGGCATGACCGCCATCTCCAGAGCACAGAGNCACGTGGTAACTGTGAAATCCTGTGAGCACGTTGGATGACTCGCAAGGAGAATAAGGGAGCAGAATTATCATCGCTAATCAACTGCAGGACAATAAGGAGGTTCTTGGGAAGAGTCTGGGTGGGACCCGTGTGAGCTCAGGTCCTTCAAAGTGGAAACGGAAGGAGAGGGTTCAGAGGGCGGCAGCGTGAGTAGGACGAGACCCAGCACTGCTGGCCTGGGAGGCGGGGAGGGTGGCCCCCATGCAGGGACGCGGGTGCCACTGGGTGGTGGGGAGGGTGGTCCCCATGCAGGGACACGGGTGCCACTGGGAGGTGGGGTGGGTGGTCCCCATGCAGGGACGCGGGTGCCACTGGGAGGTGGGAAGGGCAGTGTTGGGTCCCCAGAGCCTGCAGAAGGGCACCAGCCCTGCCGACACCCTGCTCCCCGCTCAGTTTGTGACCTCTCACCTACCGCTGTGAGATGATGAGTCTGTGTGGATCTCAGCACAGAGCCGGTCTACTTTGTGACAGCAGCACAGGAAACTATCACACCGATGACGTATGGCTGCACTGATTCCTCTAAAGAGGCAGAAGTGTTGTGGTGATAATCCCCTCCCAGGTTCTGTCTTCCTGTCCCCAAACAGTGCAGTGACTCTAGCTCAGGTGTGAGTATCAGGTCTGCTCTGAACTTGTGCTGAGCCCACTCACCTGACTTCCCGGGAGCTAAGAGAGACTGAAGGCTGGGTCTGGAAGGAGTCCCTGTAGGAGGGCCTATGTGACACTAGTGGGGACCAGAAAAGGAGGTGGCCCTGGGAGGGGGTGAGAGCTGTCACCTACCGTAGACAGTGAGCTGGAACACCCGGGTAAATCCCCCTCCTCCAGTGAAGCTGGCTCGAGCCCGGTACTGCCCACTGTCCTCACGGGTCAGGTTCGCAATGAGCAGGGACGTCATATTGTGCGCATGGGCCCTGTGCCTGTACTTGTCCTGGAGGTTGACCCAGGTTGGCAGGCCCCCACCGCTGACCACTCGCAGCAGGACTCTGTAGGTGGTCTCGGGGCCAAAGCTCCACACCATTTCCTCCAGCTGAGCTTCTGCGTCTCCTTCCAGCTCCCGAGTCACGTGGAACAACACGGAGTCTCCTTGGACCCTCTTCAGAGAGACGTGGGCTCTGGAATCCGCACCTCCAGAACTCAGGGGCCCAGCGCCACAGACGCCTAGGGCATTGGAAAAGGGAGATGTGAGGGATGAAGGAAGGACCATACCACCTGTCTTCCGGGGAAGTCACCAGGGCTCTCCCTGGGGTCTCGGGAGGCAGCCTGGGGCAGCGAATGTGAACATTCGGAATCAAGTCCTGCTGTAGTGGATGCGGCCCTGGGCAGGCCACTCGGCCACCTGCAGACCTGCAGACCCCTCCCTGCCTCACGGTGACAGGTGAGGTAAACGACATCATGGACCCATGAAGTACCTGGCACGTGTGTGCTGCCAGGGAGAACTGGAAAGATGGAGGGAAGGACAGGTGCAGGCGCCAAGCTCAGGCTGAAAAGATTGATTTTATCGACTCTGTTTGGTGTGGCATCTTCCCCTTTTCTTCAGGGGGTTGCTTGGTAATCATAAAAATATTGTGTGTTCATCTAAAACTATTACGGTGGTTATGGCATTTATGCAAGAGTCCCGAGTGTGTCTCCTCCTCAGGTAAGCACTGTGACGTGTGCACTTTCCAGACGTTAGCTCTGTAGTCACAAACACTGGAAACCCCGGTAAACCCAGGCCATCCAGTGTGGCTCTGACTTACTATGCAATGTGACATCCTGCTGGTTCCCTCATTAACAGTCAAAATGAAAGCAGTTTGGAAGACTTCATGTCACTATCACAATCCACACAGTCCATGTGAAGCTAATATTGAAAAAGCAATTTTGGTGAAACAAACGACGTCAGCCAGGTTTTGTTACGAAGGAGAAATGTGACTTCCAGTCTCTATGTGGCACCTTCCTAAGAGACTTTCACCAGTAAATCTGCCCCAAACATGTTTGTCTTATTTGCCCCACGCGCTGCTAAGAGGGTCTGTACCTGGAGGACAAGAAGGAAGACCTGGCATTTCCTGCTAATCAGACAGGAACTGGAAACTGTGGCCAAGGCCCTGGCGGCTTCTGACTCACACAGCTGCAGCCACTTCCCTGAGGGTGCTGTGCAGACCACACCGCCACCTTGTGGGGCGGACAGGATGTCGGCCAGCAGGTGGCCTGCGGACCCCGTGCTAAGGCCCCTCTCAGGAGCAGAGG